CCCCCCCCTCCCGTTTCGTCTTCTTTCCCAACCCCCATCCTAATTTTGTTTACCCTCTCCCGCCTTATGTTTCGTATCTCCAGCGCCATGACTAAGAAAAAAAAAGAAAAAGAAGAAGAAAATAGGAGTTATTGGTCTTGTAAAAATCACCATTATTGACCTTTTAAAAAAGCTTGAATATTTAACCAGGTCTTGTTGATTTTGGTATTCCATGACCTAGAATATTAGTTTGAATCTGTAGGCAGTTGTGGTTATTGTTGAGTAAAAATTTATAGGTGATTAATTTTGATAAAATTCAAAAAACACCATTAACAAGTTTGAAGCTTTGGTTTGAGCTTGAATTTGAAATTGTAAAAGGATTTATGATGGATGTTGTTAAAACTTGTTAAAAATCGGCAAAGAGTTGAATCTATAGTTAGAGAAGAAGGTAACTGTGGTAGAAGGGTTGGTGGTAGTATTGGTGGTGGTGAAGAAGATGATGGAGTTGGGAAGATGAGGAGGAGGCGGCGTTTTTTTTCTCTTTGGGAAGATGAGGAGAGGGGGTTTGGGGGGAGGCAAATGTTTTCTTCCATTTTTCTTTTTTTCCCCTCAATTTATCACACATGTCAAATGTTGAATGACGCGTGTAATAGTAATCTTCAAGCAGATGTGATCAAACACCGAAGTTGTATTGGGAAAATCAAGTTAATGTATTGAATTAATTATGTGGTGACGTGTCATGACACGTGGACTGATAAAGGAATGATAGCTGGCGAAGAATAGTTGAAGAGGCACGAGCTTTAGTAGGCACAAGCAAAGATCCAAGAAAGCTAGAAGGGATAGGTACTCGAATCTCTTGATATTTTAAAGAGGCATCAGAATAATGAACCTAAATAGCGAAAGGGGTATAGATACGTATTATTGGTAATTAATAGGCATTAAGTACGAAAAAACGTTATAGAATCTGTATTGAATTAGTTATGATTGCCAATTATAATGTTACATTAAATACCATTAATTGTCCATAATGACACCATTATGAAAGGAGAAAAACGTATTACTTAGAAATAACTATAAAAGATGAGGAATGAACATTTGTAAGGGCACGAAATACAATTGGAATATATTGATTTACTTTGCTTTCTATTCAGCTATTATTTACACCAATTATTTCTTTTTCTACTTGATTATCAGTAACCCGAGTTCTTCTAAAAATAAACTTTGACTGAAATTTCAATTTTGTTTAAACAAATTGGTTCTATTACCGGGAATCTGATAATCATCTGCTTTCCAAATCGATTCTTTTATCATAAATAACTATGTTGAATGTCAATGACAATAACCAACACAATTTACCACTCCAAGATCCACAACATCAACTGAACGAACAAGATGACAGAACCCCACCTCCTTCGCCACAACATTCTCAGTGACAATCACGAGAGGGGACTCCAAACATATCTGAATCAAATGAAAATGACAGAGTTGCAAATGAAAAAGTTATCGATGAAACTCTTAAAAAATTAATTGCTCAACAGGTCAACAACGCTCTCCAGGCTTTTACCAGCTAGTTGCCGGTTGTACCGTCGACACCAACTCCAAATAACAACACTTTGGAAAACACTCGCTCTGGACTCGTCAATTCAGGTAATGGCGAAACTCCCAGCGAGTCTCGTGATGGAGAACCAGGTAACACAGTTAATTCTGATTTACAAAATTTAGTATTAACTTTGCAGAAACAGCTGAAAGAGCAAAGCGACCGCATAGAGCAAATACCCGGAGTACCGCCTGTAATCAAGGGAATAGATATGGACAAATATTCACAACAACCTTGGAAGCCAAATGCTGCTCCTCTACCAATTCCGAAGAAATTCAAGATGCCCGATA